GGCGACGCTATCCTCCAACATGCTGACGATCTCTTGGATGGGGCTGCCAAGCCTCACGTCAGTGTTCGGGTAGCGCTGGTAGCTGGGCGTCCGCATGGCCAAGCGTAGAATGCCGTCGTATTCTGTGGTACATGGCGCCGTCGTGGAGCTGTTGGTGACCGTCGAGGTCAGCTGTTGTTGTTCTGGTGGGAAACCCAGATGTGTCCCAATGAGCCGTGAACTTCACCATCCTTGTGGAAGTCCTTTGGGTCGTATCTGCTGTCGAGCTTCGTCCTCAAGTTGACGAGCTGCTTGTATGGCCTGCTGATCGCGCTGATGACCGCATGCATGGTGTTGGCGTTGGAGTGACACCGCTGGGGTGCTGCCAATTCACGTAGTCGCGCTGCCATGGCCTCCCAGCAGTTGGCCTCCTTACGCTTGTCTGCATTCTTGAACGGCTCGGACCCACTTTGATGTGCTACTTTCTTCTTCTCGAAGTGCGGTACTCCTCCTCTCAGTTGTGCAGCTTGTTGGTCGGTGCCCTGGAGTGTGCCCAAGGATAGCTCCGCCGCCCTGGTCCATTGTCCGAAGTTCTCGGGATCACTTCGGTAACTCCATGCTGCCTGCACCTCTTTGGTGGCCGACTCCACTGGCTCGTTGTGGTGGTGATGTAGCGCTTGGCACCACATGTCGTCCGTCGCTGTCGCCTTGATCTCCTCGTATTCAGCGCCCAAGATGTGGCGGTAAATGTCGAGCTCGCCGTTGGCGTTGGGATCGAGGCCGATTCCGTCTTCATCTTGGTGGAGGTTGGCGTGTCGCTCCTTGTCTCGCTGCGCCCTTCTGGGTCCTCTCTGGATGCGGATCTTGCGCGCGGGGACTTCGATCTTCGTGGGCAGGCGCGGCACTCTGATGCTGACTGCCGCAGGCCTGACTGTGAGTGTCGAATCGAGCCCGAGGTGCGGGCTCCACGGGACGTCCCTGACCACTTTGAGATGCCTTGCCAGCGACAAGACCTGCTTCGAGCACGCGCCGTAGTCGCTCTGTCTGTCCTTCCCCGAGGTGCATGTGAAGGCGCGGTCCTTGGGGATAAGCAGCTCGCCGCCCATCGCCTTCAGCCGCTCTGGTTTGGCAAGTTGTTCGGGCGTGTTGCTCCAGTCACCGAGTGCTACCCAGGGCACTGCCAAAGACTTACTCGCACGCGTCAGCTGAAGCATCTTGCCGGCGGTCTCATGCTCGAGCCCCTGCGAGTCGAGGCGGCTGCATATGAGTGCCATTGTCACCCCATCGGAGCCTCCACATCATGACTGAGGTGTCCTTCAAACTCTTCTGGAACATCGGAGGCCTAGAGGTTGACACCAACACCAATATCGGCGGTGTTCCTCCACCGAGGGACGAGGATCCCGATCTCGGTGATGGTGGTAATATTCTGGCTTCTAAGGTGACCGAAATATGACCACCAACACCGAAACCTAGGATCATCTTCCCCCTGTGGAGGCAACCCCCTGTGTTGGTGTTGGTGCCCATTTTCCAGGCCTCCAGAACACGCTCCTCCCCGTGGCGTCAGGAAGGCGTGCTGCTGTCAGTAGACCTGCTCGGGCAAAAGCCAGCAGGTGCCCCCCGCGAGTACCTGATGTACTCCTCCCCGCAGGTGTAGCTGGAGGCCACGTGTGTTGCGAATGCCACCCCTGGCGCTGCAGCTTCATGGCCTCGTTTTTGAGCGGCTCCCGCCAGCAAGTGGCGCTCAGCGATGCCGACGACGTCAAACTGGTGAACTCTGCCGACGACGTCAAAACTGGTGAGCTGTACGTAGTGTCTCACTTTCTCCCCGAAGTGCGTGGCGCTCGCAAGCAGCGCGTGAAGCGTGCGGTCCGCGGACGCGACCGCACTCTTGGGTTTGGAGGCGCCTGTGCCGTGGTTACCCACTGGGCCGATCGGCAGCGGCACCTCCTCCCCCGCTGGCGGTCGCTGCCGTCGACGCCCGCGACTTGGCTTTGACCTTGAACTGGGCTGTGGCCTCGATGTACTTGCTGACAGCCTCGGGGTCCATGAAGTCTGTGTTGCCTGCGCTGGCTGCGGGCTCTTCCTCTGGAGCCCTCAGCCTTGCTCTCATGCTGGTTGGGCTGCCCCATCGGTGCTTTTCTTCCTCTTGTGTTGACATCAGAGTGGAGCTTGCGGAGACGTTCGGCGGCATCTTCAGCATTCTGTCCAGCAGCTGCCGCTTGCTTGAGCGTGGCTGCTGCGACTGCGGCCGCCTTCCTGGCTTCTTCACATATTCACGCTTGCCGTCAGGTCCCAGCGGCTCCAGATCCTCCTCGCCCAGCTCTGGGAACTCGTTGTCGTCGTTGGAGCCCTTCTGCTTCTCCTGCTCTGCTGCTGTAGCTGCTCCACCGGTGGTCTTGCCCACCAACTGGTCGACCTCAGCCTGGGCTGCCAGGCGCTCTTCAACGTTGGCACTAAATCGGGCAAGAAGATCTTTCTGAGACTGACCTGCTGCCACCAGCTGCGCTTTGATTCGGCCCTG